GCACAAACGCAAGTGACGCTTATGGCTGAAAAAAAAGGGAAAGGAAAGGCAAAGGAAAGACCAGGCCCCAAACAGAGAGCGAGAGACACCCTCTTGAGCCCAATAAACCCTTGAATGCGTGTTGGTATCTCCGAGGTATCTCGAACACGGCCGTTGCCTCGTAGAGAGTCGTTAAGGAAGAGACAAGCGATGAACACCCTGAATTTTTTTTAAAAAAAGTCTAGGATCGACAAGGAAGGATAATTCACGTTTCTGCAACGAAGAATCGGAGAAAGGATGGTCAGCGAACAGATCCAAGCTGATATAATAGATGAGCAAGGGCGCTTGAGAGGCGGGGAGGAGAGTGAAATAGTCAAGTGGGGGAGGGAGGTGAGGAGAGGGGAGAGAATTAACCAGCGACACAATAAGAGAAGGGTCAAATATAAAAACGATGAATCGGAGACCACGCGTCGAAAACGACAGGAAGTGACAGCGATTGTCAGAATAGAAGGAACACGGGGGTTGGGAATAAAGAACAATAAGAGCGACAGAGAAAAAAAAAAAGGGCAGAATGGCAACAATCACAAAAGCGACAACACGTAGCTGATTAAAGGAAGACGAAAAAGGATGAAGGTGAATGGAAGAAGAAAAGTGAAGATGATGGGGGAAAAGAGAGAGTGGTGAGTGGATGCGAAAGACAAGGTGTGCGTGTTGGGCGGGGAGGAGGAGGAAGGAAAAAGGAAGAGAAAGAAACCGAAAAGCAAGGCAGAAAGAAAAGCAAGCGGAGGAAAAAAACAGCGAGATAATACGAAGAAATCGCTACTAATAATAATAATAATAATAAGAGCGCTGAATCAGGTACGGCAGCCGACGCAGGCTGGAAACGGAGGGAAACGCGGGCTAGAGTAGCAGCTAGAGCAGCAACTAACCACGTCTAGTCGGGGCAAGCAGCAGCAGCAGCCAGACAGGCCTGGGGAGGGATGCAAATCAAGTGCTTGCTTGCTTGTTTGGTTGATTGGTTGATTGGTTGGTTGCAGGGGGGGGGGGAGGATCTGCCAAGTGCAGTGTAGTGTAGTGGTGCCTTGTTTCGCAGGAGAGAGGAGAGATGGAGAGATGGATTGGGGAGTGGAGAGGGAAGATGAAGGGGAGATAGAAAGACATAGGCTGCAGTGGATATAACTAGCAGAATAATAACAATGCAGTAGAAATAATAGAAATGGGTTGCCGGGTTGCTGCGGGATCAGAGAGCTGGAACAACAAGACTCCAAGTTCAACTCATTGCCACGGTGATGATTTGATGTTCTCATCCCCCCCCCCCTCCATGCCTTGAAACCCTTTTCTTGGTTGTGATGATAAATATGTATGTATGTATGTATGTAGTTTATATGCAGAGATCGGTGCGGTGTAGTGGATGTAGTTGTGTGTAGTGAGGTTGTGTGGGTGGGTGGGTTGTTGTTTGTATGGGTGTCTGGACTCCCTCAGCCAGCCATCGCTCATCGCTTCAAACTACTGCTTCATAATATCCATGCAGTCAAGCCAATTCAAGATGGGGGACGAGTCTGCCAACCCGACAAGACTAGCATGCTAGCACAAGGCAGAGAGGGGTGAGACGGATAGATGGAGATGGATGGGGCTGGTGCTGGTGCTGGCTGTGGCGGTGGTGATGGTGATGATGATGATGCTGCTGCTGCTGCTGCTGCTGCTGCTGCTGCTTCCCCTCTGCGGCTCTGCGGCGATTCGACGCGCGCAAATCCCTTCCACAGAGCTTCTACCCCTCTTCCACCCCTCTTCCATAGGGCGAAAGAGTAGGTATCAAATCGCAATTTGATAATACAGAGAGGACCAGGTGCATACACGGGCAATTTGAAAAAGAAAAGGGCATTGATAATGTGTAGATTCGATTACAGTAAAAAAAATAAAGAGAGAGAGAGAGAGAGAGAGAGAGAGAAACACTCACCACAACTCCGAACTTGATCCCAGGATAAAACAGACTGAAGTGCAGAAGATATCAATATCAAGACTGCTTATACCAATAAAATATACACAGCAAAAGAATCCTTAGAACCCTCCCTGAAAGCAAAAGGTCGTTTCGCTGGAGTTTCTTTGATCGGTCGGAGTAGGGAAAATTTGAATTTGCGCGCTTTTTTTTCCCTTTCTTTCTTTGCTCTCCTCTAAACGCTGACGACAATCGGAATTCAAAAAAACTCCTGCGGGCGCAAAAACGGAAAGATGAAGGCGGCGACGACGACGACGACGAAGAAGAAGAGGAAGAAGAAGAAGAAGCAAAGATCAACCAACAAAACAAGAAAAACGATGCCGTTTCCTTTGTCGACGGGGGTGGGGTGGGGGTGTGGATGAAAAGGAGCTGGAGGTGGGAGAGAGACGGCGAGAGAGGAGGGGGATTTTTTTTTCCCTGCTAAAAAAAGAAAACCCGAATTATTATTAAAGAAATAAAATAAAATAAAAACCGAACGAAACTCTCTTTTGCCGGCGGGGATGGTGGGGCGGCGAAAAGAAAGAGAAGAACAATGAAGAAGGAAAAACAGTGTAAATAATTATAATAATTATAGTAATAATAATAATTATAGTAATAGAATTATAACTACTCTATTTAAATAATTAAAACGAAAAAGGGGACAATGAAAACTAACCAGCAAACGGGAGGGAGAGAGAGGGATAAATAAATAATAAATGGATAGATAACCAGCGCAAGGCGGAGGTTCAAAGCTGAACGACGAACAACGAAGAACGAAGAACGACCAGCGACCAACAACAATGAGGAAGGAGAAGTAAATCGATGGTTATGAGTTAGATGGAAGAGAAGAAGAAGAGATAAATGGAGAAAGGAGAGAAGAAATTGAACCAGAAGAATTCCCGTTTTAGTACTTTGTAGGAAAGGAAGCAATTGGGCTTGCTGCAAGGGACGAAGGGGGAAAAGAAAAAAAAAATAAGCAAAACGGTAAAAAATGGGAAAAATGGTTAAATAAAGAAAAACAGAGTTCGAAGAAAGAAGGAAATGAAAGCAGGGAGGAGTCGTTATTCAATTACGCTGTCTACAGTCAAGAAGCTGCTTTGTTTACAACCGCTGGTATCGCCCTATCCACCAATATCTGTACAGAGTATGATATATATACATCATTGTACTAAGTAACAACCTGCTCAGACATGGAGTACTACTACTGTCCAATTGTCAGACTATATACCCTTGTACTTGTACAGTACCTAAGTAAGACACACCGAAGCCTGGCCACGAGCATTTATTTTTCGTCTCGGAAGCGAGACGAATTAGAGAAAGTTTAACAGGAACGCGCACAACACAACATCTGTTTTGAGATGGAATCACTGGGAAATAAAACCTTAAGCGTACCTACCGTACGTACCTTCCCAACTACTACCTAACTACATGTTCCTATCAATTAAATAATGCCTTTTATGATATTTTCTGTGGCCTGATTGTCAGCTTGCAGCTTGTTCAGTTGTTAGTTCATATGATGGAGGCTATGCCCAAAATACATGGTGATGGTGTTCAAAGACTAAATTCTAATTATGATGTTTGCAACTTCAACCTCACTCACGTACCGGAGGCCCTGACGTTCACTCCGGGAAACCATGGACTCAGTGTACGGATGTTTTGGCCATGGAGGGGGCCAATAATTGTCCAGGTTCCTAGATGGATTGCATGCGGGCCTTCACTAAATAACTGCTATGCCTCTTATTAATTCCTCCAAACCCCAAGTCCATAAAATAAGAGGAAAGCCTTCCAAAAAAAAAAAAAAAAAAAAAAAAAAGAAAAAAAGAAAAAAAAAAAGAAAACGGAAAAAAAAAGGGAAAAAAAAGTACATATACACACCTCACCTATCCTGCTTCCCCAACTCATCCCCCAATATCTGAATAGTCCTCTCATATACCCTCCCTGACTCCACCTCCCACCTCCCAAGTTCGTCTCCAAAGCCCTCGAGGTCCGACCTTCCCCCTCCACCACTCTCATAGTCCCCATCCCGATCTCCTCCTCCGTCGTCATCGTCATCATCGTCATCACCATAATCCCTACCCATACCTACACCGTCCTCCTCGTCCTCCTTCCCCTGCGCACTGACAACAATAATCCGCGCACTCTCCGCAAGACTCTTAATCCTCACCTTCTCCGTGACGGAAACCACTCCAAGCTTGCCTTCGAAGCCCGGTAGCGGGTGTCCTGTTTGCAAGTCCTCCCCCAGCAGCAGAGAAGCGAAGATGGTGTCAAATTTCCTGAGAAGTTTGAACGTTGCGCGTGCGGAGAAGGGGAAATCCGGGAGGTAGGTATTTAGTAGACCTGCTAGGGAGATGAGGTAGGGGATTTGGAGTGATGCTGTTTGGGGAGTTTTTTTTGGGGGGGGAAGATGTTAGTTGCGGATTGAGAAAAGAAGTGGTACATTTGCAATCTCGATTAGGTAGAGGAGGTGGGAAGTCGAGGCAAGGCACGATTTTGTATTTAAAAAAGAATTCTAACGTATAGGAACAAGAAAAGAAATCAACTTACGAGTTCCGCTAACCCAAAGCACGTCAACAATCGCCTCGATATCCTTCACAACCTCGCGAAAATTCTCATAGCCCCGATCTGTCTCACTCTCGTCCCCGGCGAACGCGCTGCTAAATTTCTTCGCGTGCCGCCGGTTTATAGCTAGTATGTGACTGTCGACGAAGTTGATGACTGTCATCTCTTTGGCGCTTCCTGGTCTGAGGGTTTGTTTTCTCTGTTGCGGGAGATTCGGCGTAATGGTGGAGGTCGAGTACACGGAAGATGCAGGTGGGGAGGGGAGGGAAGCGGGCATGAATCCTCCTCCTTCTCCCCCTATTACTAAATCTGACCCCGATTCCATCGTCGGCGGGTCGTATATGGGGATTGACCAACCTGGAAGCAAGCCGGTAGGCCCAGAGTATGATTATGCTTCTTATCTCAATCTGAGAGGGGGTAGCAGCTAAGGACACTCCTTTAACAGCGACGAGGCGAAAAGGATAGATCGACTCTGTAAAAGAGATAAAATAAAGGTATTCTCCAATAGGAATATAAAATATGAGAAAAATATTTGCGGGAGTAGATGGTTCAATTCAGGAGGGTTATGTGTGTTGACACTACTCCGTAAGTTAAAGCGAAACGGGGATGCCTATAACGAGACGAGCAATTGTAGTATTTACCCCTAAAAAGATAAAATAGTCTGGTGCAAGAAGAGTCATTTACAAACGGCGTCCAGCAATGCTGCCAGGAGGAGTGACGTTGATGACGGAAACGGCGCGTCTGAGAGTGACATAATCGGCCTAGCCTATCACCCCACAGTGATGACGTAGGGCAACTTTAGAAATTTATATGGATATCTCAATATGGTGACTGAGCTCTTTTGCCCCAGTAGCCTACACAAAGAGCTTCCATACGGGAAGAACATAGGGTTAATTTACGGTGATTACACCGTGGATCCACCATTCCACCTGTGTCACGTGTTGCCAATCATAACACATGTTCCATCATTATATTCAGTGACACATTACTGAATATTAAATGTTAAGATAGTATTAAGACAATGCAGAACTTTCTAATATTATTATAACACTATTCAGTAATTATATAATTAATAGATACTATTATCAGAATACTACTAAGATATTATAAGACACTGTATACTATTCTGTCAGTGAAATTAATACTATTAAGCTAATTATCTATTACTTAGTATAACTAGACTGGCCGCTGAGACCATGAATTTCATATTTGATCTCATTTGATCTGGTCTCATACATTTCTTGGCGTGAATCCCGCTGGGACTAACTATTAAAAAAACATGTAAAATGACTATATATTAGATCTTAAAATGAAATCATGACTTGAAAAAAATGAGAAAGTGATCTCATTTAGTTTCATTTAGTCTCATTCTTGATATAAAGTTACTATTTTTAGACATTTTAAGATTTTTTTTAGACTATTTTTAATTTTTTAAAAAGTAATACTTTTTGATAATACTTAAATAAGATTTAAAGTCATTTAAAGCAATAAAAATAATTTAAATTGAGAAGTGAAAATCATGATCTTATTTGAAAAATGTAATAAGAGTAGACAGTAAGTCTCACTGAGACAGTATGAGACTACTATCTAATGTTAAAACTGTGTAATGAAATCAGTTGAATTGATAATAAGACTATTAAAAAATCTGATCCTGGTCTCAGACATGATTACACGGTCAGTCTAAGTATAACAGCTACTATTTATTAACTATTTATTTAAAGAAATAAGATATTATAATTATAATATAAATATCTTATTATCTGAGATTTATATATTAAATAATTATTATATTTATTACTATTCTATATTAGAATATTATATAATACTGTCTTTTAAATTATCAGAAGCTTAATAATAGTATAATTATTAAAATTTATTTATAAAATTAGTAAATTTAATAGATAATTCTAGACTGGCCGCTGAGATTATGAATTTCACATTTAGTCTCATTTGATCTGATTTCATACATTTCTTGACATGAGTTCCATCAGAACTAAGCCTTAAAAAAATCTGAAAATGAATCATTTCTGAGAGAAATGTTGTGAAAAATAATCAGATTTAATTCAAGAACAGTGAAATGAGAGTAATTTCTCAGAATAAACTGTGAAAGATGATCATTCTTTCAAAATCAGAATGAAACTGAGACTGAAGATTAAAATCAGTCTCATTCAGTTCATTCAGTGATTGCTTATATAATCAGAATTTGATAACAATTATTGATAATACTTATGAAACAACTAAATACATTCTTGTGTAAGTTTATTCTTTACTTTCTTATGAAAACTACACTTCTCTGATATACTGTGATCAGAGGTATTAAAATATCTGATAATTTCATATTTTATAATCATGAGTTTCTTGATTATTTCTTCTTATAATTGTCTCTGATAATAGTAATAAATATCTTAACTTGAGTTGAACTTTCACTTCATTCTTATCTCTGTCAATAAAATTATCAGAATATCATATATTATCAGTGCAATAGTTAAATATATACTCTCAATAATTTTTCATAACTCTAGAATTGATTTAGTGCATAAATTCATCAGATTATCTTGAAGATAGCAGTCAAATTCAGTTTTATAAGTATATAGTTTTGCCTGATTTTCAGTTACAATCAATGTATACAAGTTCTGTTTCAAAGTTAGTATTATAGTTCTATATGATATGAAGTGTTATCAAAGATTATTACTTACTAGAGAATTGTATTTCACTGTCTTTACATCTTAAATATCTGCTTATTTAAATCTCTGATAGTTGACATTGTAGTAGTCTCAGACTAATTTAATATATAAGTCTCATTTCTTCTCTATTCAATCTTAAGAAGTGTAGATATTAACTCAATGAAAGAGATCTAGTAGAGCTGCTACAGTATAGTACTCTGTAAAAGATTATTCAGTTTTACTGTAGTAATATGCCAGTTTATTTCTTACAGTAATAATAGTCTGCACTATAGTATTATTTCAGACTGAATTTCTTTTTAAGTGATTCAACTGCTTCTTAAGATGAGTAAATAAACTGTTATACACTCATCAGACTGACTACAGCATTGATGTATAAGTGATTAAGACTGTCTTTATTATCTTATAAAACTGAAACAGTAAATTAATTATATATTTCAACTGAGTTCACTTCATATCAGAAAGTTTCAATATCTGAATCTTTTCTCAATCAGAGTATTGTACTCAATGATCAATCATCTGATATAATTAAAGAGTCTGAACAGCTATCTTATATATTGAACTTCATTATATTCTAACATTCTGTATCATATTCAGTGATATGACTGATTTGTTTATTTATTAAATATCATGAAATTATTATTATTGTTTAGAAGAGATACAAATCATATTAGCAATGTTTCAAATCTATGATATTTAAATTTTTAGTCAATCTATTCAAAATTAACAGTAGTATTATTAAAAAGCATTATTAAAAAGCAATATTAAAAAGTATTATTAAAAAACATTATCTTTTATAAAATGAATACAAAAGTTACTTGAGTAATCACTTTCATCTGATTCTCATCTCAAGAATCAGTCATCTCATTATTCTTTATCTCAATGTTAAGATTCTTTATCAATATTTGCATCACAAGTTGAATCACATGAGCAATGCAGAGAATATGACCTTGTTTATTATTTTAGAAATGCAAAGTCAATTTTTGCTCCAAGCTCTTCATCATAGTGTAGTTATTCACAGCATTGTCAGTTATAATTGTAAGAAGACTGAGACTAATATCTTAATAGTCATTTTTAATCACAGTTATTAATATCTCTGCTATATAATTCTCAGTATAACTACTGATCAATAATTCAAATTCAATTAATGTCTCTTGATAAGTTCAGTTCTCATTAATATAATAACATATAACTCTTATAAATGTAAGATTATTTATACTAGTTCATGCATTCACTGTGAGAGATACTCTTCAGTGATTCTTCAACTCTGATTCTAGATATTGTATATTAACTTTGTAGTGTATCTCAAGATTGAACTGAAGACAGAATTGATGTGAAATATGAAGATTTGAATTAAGTATTTAAAGAAGTGTTCAGAATTCAGAGTTTTCAATTAATTGAAGAGAAAGATTCAGAGATATACATATATAAAATAATTATTCATAGAAGTTATCAGATAAGAGTTGTGAAATCAGAGTACTGATACAGAGTCATTTTCACATAATTTTCTTCAAATTAGAAAGTTAGTATTATTAAAAATCATTATCTGATAGAGTAACTTATCAGCTTAGTAGTAATTTTCTGATTATTTTTCTTTTATTATCTGCATTCTGATAACTTCAGATATCAGAAAATTTCTTCAGAATCATGATCAGTTCATGATAAATGTTTTCAAATGAAGTTACAGTGATTGCAGCAGAGAGATGACTCTTCAGTAATCTATAATATAATCTGTTAATAATTATTTCATAGTTCATCTCAGTGTTTGTGTTGAGTTTTTCATAAATTTTTTAACCTGAAATCAGATGTGAAGAATGAAGTAATTATTCATTATAATTGAAAGAGAGCATTCTGTGTTGAATTATAAATAATATAAACTTTGTAATTTATAGTGATTTCTTGAAGAGTTTGTGAATCTTCAATAGAAGTAAAAGAAGTGAAAGAAGTGAATTCAGAAGACATGATAATAATTTGAGAAAGATAATAATTTATTTTCAATAACTGATCACTGATGTCTGTAAGAAAAATTAATATAAGAGAAAATAATCTTGTTTCTTAGCTTAGTTATAATTTTAGTACTAACTCAGATTGAATATTATCAATGTATAAAAGTAAATAAACAATCTTAATTAATCTCTGTCATATTTCTTAAAATATATTAATATTGTGAAAGAGAGTGTTACTAAATTATATTATCAGATAATATTATTAAAAATATATTAATATTATGAATATCAATGTTGAAAAAATGTTGATACTTATACATTATAGTGATTTGTAAATCATGATAGTTAAATATATATATATATATATATATTGTTTCTGACTTGATTACAACTTGTACAATAATTTTTAAAAACTCAAAATTAATTTCAATTATTAATAATTATGAACTTATAACTAACTAATATAAAAAGAAAAAAACTTTTTCTACTCATCATCTTTCTTCTCTTTCTCATTCTTCTTATTATTCTTTATAATTCACTTCTTATTCTTCTTCTTCTTCTTCTTCTTCTTATCTAAGATGATAATCATCTCAAAATCTCTCTTCACTGTCTTCTCAGAAAAGAGTTCTCACTGCTTCCTCTCAGCTAGGTCAATCTGTATCTCAAAATCCTGTATTTTCTGATCTACTGTCTCGGGT